CACCGCCCTGACCACGAACGCGGGCTGGGCCCCACACGTCCAGGTGGAGGGTCTGCAGAGGAGCCTCTGTCGGGGGGAACGAGGAGGAGTGAGGAGCGGCGCGCTGCCGCCCCCTCGACGCAAGGAAGGCAAGGCGGCGCAGGCGAGGCAGGGAGGGGAGGGAGGGACCTGGGAAGACCAGACACAAGGTGGCGACGGTGCATGCCACGAAGGCGTGGCAAGGAGGGGTGACCCAGGCGGTGGTGCCAGAGAAGAGTCTGGTGCGACAGGGAACGACACTCACAGGCGTGGGCTACCAGACCTGACGCAGACACCTGACCGACAGCAGCGACCTGAGGAGACGCAGTGGTCAGTGTGTAGAGACTCGACCCCGGCCGACGGGTAAACGTAGCCAGGTGACGGCCGGTCCTGGAGCACGTGCAGATCGCCACACGCTGTCCGCCAGGGGTAAAGGTGTCAACCCACTGATCCTGGAGGACAGCGTTGCTCACCAGGTTCGTCGAGAACGAGGGGAGGTGGAAACCCGACAACGAGCCAGACGGAACCGCCGGACAAGGGAGGACAGTGGTGGACTGGGCAAGGACTGGGCCCCCAGAGGGGTCAGCCAAGGAGACTGGGACCGGTGCAGGAAGCGGTGTGAGCTCAGTACTGTCACGAAAGAAGCAACGGGAAGCACCTGAGTCAAGGGTGAAGGTGTGACAGGCCTCAGCCGGTGCGGTACCTGAGAGAGCAGTCTCTGTGGGTGCTGTACCTGAGAGAGCAGACTCGAAACCAGCCAGGACAGCACTGGGGGGAGCAAGTACAGGGGGCACCATACCAGAGAGAGCAGACTCACTAGTACCCAGGGCAGCGGGCTCTATACCTGGGTCAGGCGGCACACACAAGTAACAGTCTCCCTCGGCACTAACAGTCAATGCATACATGGCAGCAAGAATAGCATCATAGTCAAGAGCAAAGACATCAACACCAGCCCTCATGAGCTCAGCCCAGCGGGGGCGCTCAACATCCGCGCCCATCTCCTCACGCCAAGCGTCGTCAAGGCGGGAGAAGCAGCGGTACGGGGTGTGGAACCTCCCACACGTCTGTCCCTTGCGGTCACCTGTGCGAATGACATAAGAACAGCGGCCACTGCCCCCCGACGTCCCACGCTGAGCAAGCCACTCACGAAGCTGCTGGGTCGTCTGGGGACGCTGCTGCTACTAAGCGCTCTGGCCCGAGCCAGTGCCTCCACTCCGACCGCCGCCGCCACCACTACCACCGCTCCGACCGCCACCGCCACCACCGCCACCACCGCCACCCGCCGCCACCCCGCCGCCGCCCACTACTACTGCCACTGCTTCCGCCGCCGCCCCCGCCTCCACCACCGACCCCACTCCCACCAGCGCTCCTGCCACCGCTCCCTCCAGCACCGCCTCCCCCCCCACCTCCCCCACCTCCTCCCCCCCCAGCGCCACCACCACCACCCTTGCCCCCCTTGCCCTTGCCGGTGCGGCGCCTCCCACCAGGAGCAGAAGCAGCGCCAACAGACTCAGCACCAAGGAAGTCAACAGCAGCAGCAGCAGCGTAGGAGGGAGCGAGGGGAGAGGGAGAACACCCCTCAAAGATGGGGGTGCGAGGAGCGCCACGAGCAGCACCAACAGCTACAATGCTCTTTTCGGCCGCGAGCAGCTGCTCCTCTAGGAGGGCGACTGTGAGCTCAGTGGGACAGCGAGCAAGGAAGTGGTCTCGAACTGAGCGGAGGGTGTCAGGGAGATGGGTGACTATGAAGTGGAGTGTCCAGTACAGTGGAGGGGGGTTCTTAGCGCAGAACTCGGTGGGAAGGGCGGCACGCAGGCGAGCATCACTAGTGCGAAGGTGGGTGATAAGATCGGCGACTGTAGCAAAGGTGGACAGATCGGGGAACAGGTACGGCAGCATGAGGCGGCTAAGCTCGGCTGTGGCAGGCGAGGAGTAGCGAGCAACGACAGCATCGTACAGGGCCTTAGCGGATTTGCAGTCGCCAAAATGCTCGAGCTCAGCTAGCGGCAGGTGACTGCGAATGGCTAGGCGAGCAGCTGCGTCACGAGTCTGCCAGTGGGAACGAACACTAAGCTCGGCTGTGGCAGCAGGAGCAGCGGCAGCACCAGACGCGTAGTCATAGAGGGAGATGTGGTCCGTGCTATTGCTCATAAGATACAACTGCAGGTCGTCGAGCCAGGAAGTGAACTGCACGGGACGGCCCTCAGCATCGAAGGAAAGAACGCGAATAGAGGCCATAGCTCAGGCGTGAGGGAACAGCAGAGCAGCGGCAGCAGCAGAGGGGACGCGCTAGAGCGAAGCTAGCAGCCACAGCAGGAGCAAGCGGCGGTGCACAGGCAGGGAGCAGCAGGCGAGGCGGGCGGCGCTGCAGGCGGGAAGTGCGGCGGGCGGGCTGCGAAGCGGGCAGCGGGGCGGGCGGGCGACGCGGCGAGCGGGCAGCGCGGCAGGCGGCTGCGAAGCGGGCAGCGGGCGGGCGGGCGACACTGCAAGCGGGCAGCGGGCGGGCGGGCGACGCTGCAAGCGGGCAGCGAGGCGGGAGGGCGACGCTGCGAGCGGGCAGCGGGCGGGCGGGCGACGCTGCGAGCGGGCAGCGAGCGAGCGGGCGACGCTGCGAAGCGGGCAGCGGGGACAGATCGGGGAACAGGTACGGCAGCATGAGGCGGCTAAGCTCGGCTGTGGCAGGCGAGGAGTAGCGAGCACCGACAGCATCGTACAGGGCCTTAGCGGATTTGCAGTCGCCAAAATGCTCGAGCTCAGCTAGCGGCAGGTGACTACGAATGGCTAGGCGAGCAGCTGCGTCACGAGTCTGCCAGTGGGAACGAACACTAAGCTCGGCTGTGGCAGCAGGAGCAGCGGCAGCACCAGACGCGTAGTCATAGAGGGAGATGTGGTCCGTGCTATTGCTCATAAGATACAACTGCAGGTCGTCGAGCCAGGAAGTGAACTGCACGGGACGGCCCTCAGCATCGAAGGAAAGAACGCGAATAGAGGCCATAGCTCAGGCGTGAGGGCACAGCAGAGCAGCGGCAGCAGCAGAGGGGACGCAGCAAGCGGGCAGTGAGGCAGCGGGCGGCGCTGCGAAGCAGGTAGCGGGCGGGCGGGCGGCGCTGCGAGCGGGCAGCGAAGCGGGCGGGCCGCGAAGCGGGCAGCGAGCGGGCGGGCGGGCTGCGAAGCGGGCAGCGGGGCGAGCGGGCTGCGAAGCGGGCGGGGCGCGAAGCGGGCAGCGAGCGGGCGGGCGGGCTGCGAAGTGGGCGGGCCGCGAAGCGGGCAGCGGGGCGAGCGGGCTGCGAGGCGGGCGGGCCGCGAAGCGGACAGCGAGCGGGCGGGCGGGCTGCGAAGCGGGCGGGCCGCGAAGCGGGCAGCGAGCGAGCGGGCTGCGAAGCGGGCGGGCCGCGAAGCGGGCAGCGAGCGGGCGGGCGGGCCGCGAAGCGGGCAGCGAGCGGGCGAGCGGGCTGCGAAGCGGGCGGGCCGCGGAGCGGGCAGCGAGCGAGCGGGCTGCGAAGCGGGCGGGCCGCGAAGCGGGTAGCGAGCGGGCGGGTGGGCTGCGTGGCGGGCGGGCCGCGAAGCGGGCAGCGAGCGGGCGGGCGGGCTGCGAAGCGGGCAGCAGGACGAGTGGGCTGCGAGCGGGCGGCTCGGCGGGCGGGCGACACTGCGAGGGGCGCGCGAAGGCGCTAGTGAGGGGCGCGCGAGGGCGCTAGCAAGGGGCGCGCGAGGGCGCTAACGAGGGGCGCGCGAGGGCGCTAACGAGGGTGCGCGCGAGGGCGCTAACGAGGGGCGCGCGAGGGCGCTAACGAGGGCGCACGAGGGCGCTACGAGGCTAGGGCACGGGGTAGCGTGGTAACCGCATGCGAGCGGTGGTGGGCCCTTAAAAAAACGGTCGGTAGGTCCTAGGGACCTCCTGCTCTGAATACCATTTCAGAATAGCTAGGCAAGAATGATTGAACTAGCAGAAGTTTGGGTACAAATATGAAACCCTAGTTGGGGTTGTACCCCATATTGACTACCCCACTACAGCCTACAAGCATAATACAGTTTAACACTTTAGGCCTGGTGCGCGTGTTTGCTCACTTGCTTAACTCTTGACTTTGCTTGTACTGTGATCTATATTATATACCTGCATGCCTACTCCTGCTAGGTAGTGATCATTGTACTGTTGTTGTTGCATAGATGCCTAAGCATGTGAACTGGCCAGGGCTGACGTTTCAAATTAGGGTACTCTGATGGCTCAAAAAAAAAAAAATTTAACACTGAGGGGGGTTCGACCAGATTTTGACCACTTTGATGGCTCAGTCTCCAGAGGACTCCTTCAATGATGTCACATGGCTTGCTAACTATGATCAGAGTCTTGTTGCTAAATTTTTTTTTTTACACCTGCATTGTCAACAATGCCCGGCGGGTTCTGCAATACACAGCACAGCACTAAGAATCCTACTTTGTCGGCATGTCTATGTGATACATCTCCTCTCCCTCCTCGCCATCCAATAGGAAGGGGTTATCTTCTTCCTCTGAGTAATCTCGGGACTGCTCAATTTCCTGATCCATCTCCATGTTGTCGTCACGGTCATCGTCTGACTCAACGAACTCCTCCTCGCCTGCCGGCTCGATAGGTTCCTCCTCCTCCTCCGGCTCCTTCTCTTTGCGCTTCCGATCGTCTGAAGAGAACAAGACGCTTTACGCGGGACGCCTCTTCTTGAGGCTCTTCCAGGTGTCGAGCACCCCAGGCCAGTCCATCTCGTACTGCAGCAGTGAGATCTGCATCAGCTCCCCGAGCCGCGCGTTGCAGAGTGGCCCGCGGATCCACGACTTGATCACGTTCTGGCGCGAGAACCCCCGCTCGCACTCCACCGTGGATAGTGGCAGGACTGCGAGAGCCTGCCAAAGCAGCAGCAGGTTGGGCCATCGCCTGCAAAGACGAGGAGCAGCAGTTTTGCAGGTGCGTTAGTTTGCAAAATAAACTTGTGGCAAAGGCACACTCGGTCGACCTACCTGTTGGCATCGCTGCTCCCCATGAAGTTCGCCAGTCCCTGCGCAAATGACTCGTCCTCGTGGTGCGCCTCCATGATTGGGCACCAGGTCGCCAGCTCTTGCGAGGCTTTCTTGAGATCAAACCCAGGGAGCTTGTTCTTGAACAGGGCGCTGCAGCCTGTCAGCCAGTCCTGGCACTTGCGATCTCGCGCGTGCTTGCTTTCCGGCCACTTTGACGCGCGAAACAGCTTAGTTGGACCCATCCCTCGCAGGTCGTCCAGGCGAAACAGGAGACGGTCGACGACGTCCTTTGCGAACTTGCGGCACAGCTTCACGCACGCCTTGTAGCCGCTCTTGTACTTGTGGTCCTTCAGCTTCCTCTCGTGCAGGATGTACGAGTGGTTGACCGGGCGGCCCTCCGAATCCGCGCCCCGCACTTTGACCGTCTGGCCCGACTTCTTCCCATACAGCTGCAGGAATTTCGTGAGCCAAGCGTTGCCATACCCACCAAAGTCCGCCGTCTTGTCAAGGTACCTGTGCTCGAGGTCGCCCGTGATGGACTCGACGGTCTTTGCCACCTCGGTAACATCGACCTGCAACAGCAACAGCAGAATTATAGTATAGGATTTTGTGAAAAAACATGGCCATACATACAACGCTGCCTCACCTGCCGCTTCTGAAACGACCGGTTCAGGTCGTTAAGGTCGCCGAGGATGTCTGCGAGGAAGGGCGAAGAGGCGATGTGCTGCATCTGCTGCTGAGTCAACCAGGTGCTGAGGTAGTGCACCATCTACTGGAAACCGTATCTGCAGAGGGTATAACGAACAAGGACATTAGTTGTAGGTGGGAGGCATGACATAAAACACAAAACAGAAAACATACATGCCCTACCGCGTGAGGTAGACCCCGTAAGCTTGCTTCGGGATGTCGGGGGTGTCCTACTCTGCGAGATGCCTCATCAGCTTCGGGAACATGCTGATGGGCGCGTCCTCCTGGCAAAGAAACTGCACCGACCGCATCAGCCAAATCGCACGCCGACCCTCCACGTCCGCGTTGATGAACCGATCGATTTTAGTCTGGCCGTTCGAAATCGCCTCCGCAATCTCCGCCTGACGCTGCATCGCCTCCTTGTAGACCGTTGTGTGTTCGTGGATGCGCATCGTCTGCGTCTGCAGGTCTCGACCGCCGTCCCCAGGACCTGAGTACTTGGTTGTCTCCTTGCCGAATGAGACACACACGCTGCACTTAACACTAGGACCACCATCTTTAGCGCGAAGCAAGAGCAGCCACGGGAATTTGGGCAACCACTGCGTGTTGTACTTAACACTTGCCTCAATGTACTACTGCTCCATCAACTCAGCCTTGGACACAACGGGTGAGTTGGTGTCCGCACGTACAGGTATGTCCTCTGGTTCCACAGGTTCGGCCTCCTCCTCCTCGGGTGCACTCGGGGGTGGCACGCGCACACCGCCGGATGTCAACGTGCTCTGCTGTAGCTTGCCTTGGAGTAAAACCGTGCGCGCCTTCTTAGTCGTACGACCCTCGGACGCGGGAGCGACATCGTTGCAGCCGCTGCTACCAACTGCAGAGGGAGGCGCTTGCTGGACGACGCGATGGCGGGTGAGAGAATGAACGGCGCTGGAGCACACGGGGGATTGGGCGGCGGTTGCGGCCCCTTGCTGGACGACGCGATGGCGGGAGGGAGAGTGAAGGGCGCTGGGGAAGGCGCGGGATTGGCCGGCGGTGACGGTCCCTTGCTTGACGACGCGATGGTGGGAGGGAGAGAAAACGGCGCTGGAGGAGGCGCGGGATTGGGTTCCGGTTGCGGCTCCTTGCTGGACGATGGGTCAGCGTCGGTATTAACAACAGCAGCGGTAACAAGAGGCTCTGGTGTGACTGGAACTAAGCAAGGTCGAAGGAAGTCTAGGCCGCTAACCCTACGATCGGGAGGCTTCTCCGGGACGGTCTCAGGCGAGTCCTCCGCGGGAGGTAAGGAAGCCATGGCGTGAGGAAAAGCTGGAACAGAACTAATGCGAGTGGAAACAAGATGTGAATGTGGGAGACCCCCTTCATCTCCAAAGGACCGGCTGGAGCAGACGGAACGAAAGCCGCGCCGCCACGGAAAGGGCTCACGAAGCCTGGTGGTGGGGTTTGAAGATTGAATCGGGCGTTGGATTCTAGGCCACATTCATCTCAACCATGCCACCACACATTGCTGTTGTGCCATGCCACCAATCGCGTTCCACCCATCACATTACGTGAGGGTGGCGCGGTGCGCGTGGCTGCAGAGTTATCATCGAACTTGGCATGCTGGCCGCACCACGCCGTACCTGGATGCATTGCTGTGCACAGCGCACCAAAAGATTTTGTCAGCATTACGTGGTTTACAGCCCACGCGAACAAGAAGACAACCACGGGGGGTGGGGAAATGATTACGCGTGGGGGGGGGGGGGGGGGGGGGGGGGGGTAATTATCGGCAATTTCGAGGAAGCTTCCTCTCGATAGACCGGCATACAGGGACCACAGACTATATACTCTGTAGTGCCAGACTCCAGGTACGACTAAGTCTGATGCCTATTACTCTATATCAGGGGCCTAAAAACAATAACACTGAGGCTCTCAGGGATGAAATATTGATTTCACTGGAAGTACAATGTTCACAAGCCCAATAGCCTGATTGGTCAGACTAATCAGACTATTTAGTCTGATAGCGTCAGCCCTGGAACTGGCCTTGTGGCCTTTTGTGCTCAGTGTGTGTGGTGACGTTGTGATCCACCGTGTAGTGATACAAAATCTTTTCACAAAGAAGTTCATATCTCAACAGTATGCGTTTATATTATGTTAAGGCGATGTCGTTAACATTAATTGTATAACGCGGCGTCAATTCTCTGGAACATGAACATCCCGGCACTAATGTTTTTTAATTTCTCGAAGAACAATGACGCGCGAACGAAAACGCGAGCCGTTCAGAACCAGTAAAAAATGAAATATAGGTTATTTAAAATTGATATTTTTCTGTTACTATATCGGAAAACAGTCACAAAGTTCCGTTCTTTGCGCGAAACATCCTACAGCGCGTAGTTTTCCATCCATCACGACCTCCTCTTGTTGATAACCACCATTCCGATCCCAGGCATTGGCGGAGGCAGCTGTCGAGTCGCCAGACAGGACTAGAAATAAGTGTTGGGCGGCGATAAGTTGGGCGGGCAGCGCGTGAGTCGCGAATCGCGATGTCAGAGGCGGCGCAGGCCGTTGCTTCCGATCCGACCACCTCCATCGCCTCTCCCACCTCGATTCCGTGAGTTCTCTTCTGAGACGAAGACTAGTGTGACTGACCGTTGACTGACGATTGACAGAAGGTTCACTGACGATTGACGCACTGTTGACTGACGCTTGACCGACGGTTGACTGACGGTTGATTAGCTGTTGATAGAGGCTGTAGTGATGGTTTGATTCGCGATCCACTGCGAACGGCAGAATCTTATGATCAGCGCACGAACGTGCGCTGCGATGTATCCCGCGATCACTAGTTCCTAGTTCTACGTCGTCCCCGCATCCTCCGATCCCCCATCTCCCTATCCCCCGCATCTCCCGATCCCCCCCATCTCCCTATCTCCCCATTCCCCATCTCCCCATCTCCCCATCCCCCCATCTCCCCATCCCCCCATCTCCCCATCCCCCCATCTCCCCATCTCCCCATCTCCCCATCCCCCCATCTCCCCATCTCCCCATCTCCTTATCTCCCCATCCCCCCTTCTCCCCATCCCCCCCTCTCCCCATCCCCCCATCTCCCCATTCACCCATCTCCCCATCTCCCCATCCCCCCATCTCCCCATCCCCCCATCCCCCCATCTCCCCATCTCCCCATCCCCCCATACCCCCATACCCCCATACCCCCATCCCCCCATCTCCCCATCCCCCCTCCCCCCATCCACTCATCCGCCCATCCCCCCATCCGCCTCCCCCTCGTCGCGTGCGCCGTCAGGTCGGAGGCGATTCGCCCCGCGCGCCGATTCTCCAAGGCGCCCGACTTCTGGCTGCTCTCGCCGCTCCTCTACGCACCGCTCCTACCCCTCAGTACCGATCTCCATCCCTCACTGTCCCCCTCTCGCATCTCTTCCCGTTCTTCCCTCTCTCTCCTCCTCGACGCACCATTGCTAATACTGCTTACTAGTGTCGTTCTATCAGCCCCTCCCCCCATCCCTTCGTCCACTCTCACCTCGGTTTACCCTTCTCCTCTATCACTGCTGGCCCATCGCCCCTTTCGTCATGCTGATTGAAAAGCCACGTGAAATGGGTGCGTTCTTGAGACGTCTAAAAAACCCACTCATTTCGTCGTCGTGCTGATTGCTCGTTTGCATCCGGTGGAACCTCATATCGCCCGCCTACGGCTCCTTGCTCCCCATTGGTCAGGGTCTGACCATCTCCCCTCCTATGTCTGCAGTTCCTCCCTCTCTCCCACCGTATCCCACCCCTCTGCACTCTCATGCCACCCCTCACCTCCCCATGCCGCCCTGCCCGCCCTGCCCGCCCTGTCCGTCCTGCCAGTCCGCATATCGCTGCGCCACAAGCCGCGGCTGAGGGACCGCCTCTTTGGCGCTGCCGTGGGGGGGGCGTTCATGCACGGCGCGTGGTTGAGGTGAGTGAGTGTTGCGTCCTGCACGTGCTGCCTGCCATTGGCTGGATGTCAGTGTGTGTCGTGCCCGAGAGGTTGCTGGTATGAAGCGGCAATCGCTACAACCCTGCCGCTCTCACTTGTCACCTCCTAGCACCTCGCTCTTCCCCTGTATCGCCACTCTCCATGTATGCACGGCGGTCTGTCCTGCTCCTGTTTTCCCGTGTTTCGCCTCTGCTGCTCATGCGTGTTGAGATAGCTAGGCAAGGTGAGGTTCACTATCGAGAGAAATGGTACAAATAACACAACCCTAAGGAGTTATCCCCTATAACATCTACCCCACTACAGCCTACCAATATGTATCACACATATATATCATTTGACACACCCCCATAGGCAAAGTGGGGGAGAGCAACGGGTCACAAGACCAGTCAAGAGAAACAAAACAAGCTCAGGGTGGATCACAACGTCACCACACATTCTGAGCACAAGCAAATGGCCACAAGGCCAGTTCACATGCAGAGATATATATGCAGCAATGACAGTACAGTGTCGAGCTACCTAGCAAGAGCCAGCATGCAGGTATATATGTATATAGATCACAGTACAAGCAAAAACTACAGCAAGTGTGGAAGCGTAGGCACAAGGCCTAACAGAGTACAAAAGCGCTGATGATCACCAGACGGAAGTGCCTTGGTGAATATATCAGCAGTTATGGCCCGAGTGGCCACGTTACAAAGACAAAGCTGGCCTCGCTGCTGCAACTCTCGAGCCAGGAAGTAACGCAGAGCAATGTGCTTCGTTCTGTGCTCCAGTCTGTGCTCCTCACACAAGGCAATGGCGGCCTTGTTGTCAACGTACAGAACTGGAGGAGAACGAGGCTGCTCTCCCAAGTCAGTCAGCAGGTAGGTGAGCCAGCGTAACTCCTGTGCAGCCATGGCGGTGGCGTAGATCTCAGCCTCACAACTGGAGCCGAGAACTGAAGACGAGCGTGTAGAACGCCAAGAAACTGAGCCAGAGCCAAGGCTGAAGGTGTAACCCTGTGACGACCGCTGAGTAGCCAGGTCGTCAACCCAAGAAGCGTCTGAGTGCCCAGTGAGGACAACTGGGCTCGTCCCTCCAAGCACTAGCCCCATGCCTGATGTGCTGCACAAGTAGCGCAGTACCCTCTTAGCAGCAGCCATGTGCTCAGGTCGGTGTCGACCAGGAGCCACGTAGCGAGCGAGGAGACCAAGAGGGTACGCGAGGTCAGGTCGAGTGCAAGTCATCAGGTACATGAGGCAGCCGACTAGCTCTGGGTAAGGACCACTCGGCTCTACGGACTCGTCCGAAGGTGGAGCTGAGAGCGTGTGACCTGTAGCCAGAGGAGTGGCCTGTGCTGAAGACCAGGTGAAGCCGAAGCGCTGAAGGACCTGCTGCACCATGTGTGACTGAGTCAAGGTGATGGTGCGGCGTGCTCTGTCCCGGGTGATCTGCAAGCCAAGGTAGCTGCGCAGCTCACCCAAGTCAGTGCACGTGTGTCTCTTCTGTAGCTCCGACTTCACGTGGGCGAGAGCCTCAGTGTCAGCAGTGGCAAAAACCAAGTCGTCGACGTACACGAGGATGTAGAACGGCGGCAGTGAAGTGTCTGTGCGCAGAAACAGCGACGGGTCAGCAGTAGAAGGCGCAAACCCAAGAGCCGCAAGTGTCGTCCTCAGTGTGTCGTGCCACTCACGTGGCGCCTGGCGGAGACCGTAGACCGGCCGTCGGAGGCTCCACTGGGTGCCAGGAGGGAACGACCCAGTGAAGCCCGGGGGGCGGCGCAGCCAGATCTCCTCGTGCAGGCTGCCCTGTAAAAAAGCAGTGCTGAAGTCAAGAGAGTGAAGCTCGTAGTCACGCTGAGCAGCAACGTGCAGCAGAACCCGAAGAGTGGTCATCTTCGGGGTAGGGGAGAAGGTCTGGAAGAAGTCAACTCCCTCTCGCTGACTGAAGCCTCGAGCCACGTAACGCGCCTTGAAGACAGGCGGAGAACCCGGCGGCCGCTTCACCCTGAAAATCCACATGCCACTGACGATGTTCGCCCCAGGTGGGGGAACCTCGTCGACATAGGTGCCTGTGGACTTCCAGGAAGCCATCTCTGCGTCCATGGCTGCCTGCCACTGAGAGGAGTAGGGACTCTCTATCGCCTCTGCGTAAGAGCGCGGAGTCGGGATGTCTGGTGCATCCGGGTCTCCCTCAGGGGCAAGTAGCGAGGACACAAGATGAGGTAAAGCAGCAGCAAGATACTGGAACTCCTCCTGCCTGTCCTCAAGGACGTCCGTGCTAAGAGCACACTCACCCCCGACGGACGGAGGACAGACAGACGCAGACTCAGCAACAAGACTGGCGGCGTAGTCTAGACGACAGGCAGCAGCAAAGTCAACAAGCTCAGCGACAAGAGCAGACGCAACAGTAGACTCAAACGACGGGTCAGTGACAACAGTGGCTAGCAGACGCGTGACAGTAGGGTGCTCAGCACGAAACCGGTCAGACTCAGGGTCCGAAACGTCAGGTAGAGAGGACGCAGGAGGAGACGGAAGAGGAACAGGCTGCAGAGCAGAGGAAGGACGACGAACTACGAGGTGTGTGCTGGGGACAGCCTGCTGACGCGAACGAGGAACACGACGACCGGGACGAGCAGGCGAGACAGGACGCGACACAGGCTCACGACGCTCAGCAGGATTACCAGTCTGCTCAGTGTAAGGAGAAGGAGCAGGCAGCGGTGAGCCAGGCTGTAACGGAAGACCAGTAGACGACGGGAGAGTAAGAACCTGACGAAGAACAGAGTCAGACGGCGGCAGAGACGACGGAGACGGCGGAGCGAAGAACAGTCGTGTCGGCGCAGCTGCATCAGTACCGGCAGCTCCAGCAGCTCCAGTACCCCCAGCAGCTCCAGTACCTCCAGCAGCTCCAGAACCTCCAGCAGCTCCAGAAGCTCCAGTCCCAGAGTCGTCACCTCCAGTCCCAGGGTCTCCAGCCCCTGTGTCTCCAGCAGTAGCACCCCCAGAACCAGCACCCCCAGTCCCAAGGTCTCCAGCCTCAGTGTCACCAGCAGCAGCACCCCCAGAGCCAGCACCTCCAGTCCCAGGGTCTCTAGCCTCAGTGTCTCCAGTACGAGTACCTCCAGAACCAGCGACTCCAGCACCTCCAGTAGACAAAGGTCCAGCACCACTCCTAGCTCCAGCAGCGCGACGCTGACGGTGACCGTACCAGTCCTGCAGCTGCTGTGGGGTGAGAGGCACACGTGGACGAAGGCGGCTACTCCAAGGAGACCGCGCAACAGCAGACTCAGAACCCTCAGCGCCAGCACCCCCAGCTGCTCCCGAACCTCCAGCGCCAGCACCCCCAGGCTCCTCACGCGTAGGCTCAGTACCCGCAGACTCGGCACCCGCAAGCTCAGCACCTCCAGGCTCCTCACGCGCAGGCACAGCACCCTCAGACTCGACACCCCCAAGCTCAGCACCGCCAGGCTCCTCACGCGCAGGCACGGCATCCCCAGACTCCGCACCCCCAGGCTCAGCACCTCTAGGCGCCTCTCGCTCAGGCTCCGCACCCCCAGGCTCAGCACCCCCAGAGACAGCACCCCGAGCAGGACCACCTCCAGCAGGACCTGAGTCACCAGTGACCTCAACAGGCGCAGGTACCGGAGGGCCTACCTGAGAAACACCTGAAGGAGCAGGACCTGGCGCGGGGAGGGGGTCTACCTGGGGAGGACCTGGAGCGAGAAAGAGCGGCGGGGGGGGGCGAGAGACAGTGCGGTAGGGAAAGAGACGGTAGAAGGGAACAGACTCGTCAAAGGTGACGTCCTGAGACGCAAAGACACGGCGCGAGGTGGGGTCGTAAAACTGCCAGCCAGGCGCGTCAGGAGGAAAACCAAGGAAGACGCAGGGAATGGCGCGAGCAGAGAGCTTGTCCGCGGTGAGATCGCGGACAAAGGCACGAGCACCCCAGACCCGGAAACACGACGTATCGCCAACCTCCCCCGTCCACAGCAGTGTGGGCGAGGTCTTCGGCAAGGAGACACGGGGCCAGAGGTTGAGCTGATGCGCGGCGTACCGGACCGCGAACGGCCACAGAAAATGGGGAGCCGCCGCATGGATCATGGAGGTACGAGCGACCTCCATGACTAAGCCAATGCGGCGCTCAGCAACCCCATTCTGCTGCGGAGAGGCCGGAAGCGTGAACGACTGGGTGATGCCGTGCTCCGCACAGAAGGCTGCCAAGAGGTCAGAGGAGAACTCACCACCTCTGTCAGAGTGCAGACGCAGGACAGGAAAGTCTCGCTCGAACCGCTCGCGGAGCTGGAGACGCACAGCGCGGATCCAGGGGATTAAAACAGCAGGGACGTCTCCCTTGCTGCGCAAGGGGAAGACCGTGGTGTAACGCGTGAAGTCGTCGACAACCAGCAGAAAGTACCGCTCACGGCCCTGTCCCTGGACGCGGGCTGGGCCCCACACGTCCAGGTGAAGCGTCTGCAGGGGAGCCTCTGTGGGAGGAAACGAGGAGGAGTGAGGAGCGGCGCGCTGCCGCCCCTCTACGCAGGGAATGCAGGGCGGCGCAGGCGAGGGAGGGAGGGCAGGCAGAGACCTGGGAAGCCCAGAGACCAGAGAGCGAGAGTGCATGCTACGAAGGCGAGGCAGGGAGGGGTGACCAAGGCGGTGGTGCCACAGGAGCGTGTCGTGCGACAGGCGGCGGCACTCACACTGGGTAGCTACCTGAGCAGACGCGTACAGCTGCGGAGACAAAGGAGCGGAGCGTGAAACAGTGGTGAGGGTGTACAGACTGGACCCCGGCTCACGAGTGAACGTGGCCAGGTGGCGGCCAGTCTTGGAGCACGTGCAGATCGCCACACGCTGCCCTCCAGGAGTCCAGGTGTCAACCCAGTGATCCTGGAGGACGGCGTTGCTCACCAAGTTCGTAGAGAACGAGGGAACGAGGAGACCTGACAGCTCACCAGACGGGACCGCCGGGCACGGGAGCACAGTCGTGCCGCGTGCAAGCACTGGGCCCCCAGAGGGGTCAGCCAGAGAGACAGGGACAGGTGCAGGGAGCGGAGTGACGGTGGTGCTATCGCGAAAGAAACAGCGGGAAGCACCAGAATCAAGTGTAAACGTGTGCAAGGCCTGAGCCGACTCAGTACCAAGGGGAGCAGACTCACTAGCACCTAGGGCTGCAGACCTTATACCGGGGTCAGGCGGCACACACAAGTAGCAGTCACCCTCAGCACTAACAGTCAATGCATACATGGCAGCAAGAATAACATCATAGTCCAGATCAAAGATAGGCACATCACGCCTAAGCAGCTCTGCCCAGTTGGGGAACTCAGTAGCATCAGGATACTTAGTACGCCAGGCGTCACTAAGCCTAGCAAAACAACGATACTCAGTGTGAAAACCGTTGCAGAGGCGACCCTAGCGGGGGCCAGTACGAATGACATAGGGGCAGCGGTCAGAACCCCGAGACGCCCCACGCCCAGCATACCAGTCATTGAGCTGCTGGGAGGTGAGGGGAGGAAGCTGCTGCTGCTGCTGTGGTTGTTGCTGCTGCTGCTGCTGCTGGCCACCCTTCTGGCCAGATCCACCCCCACTCCCACCTCCACCGCCACTGCCGCTGCCTCCTCCCCCACCACCGCCGCCGCCGCCTCCACCGCCCCCGGTCCTGCCGCCACCCCACCCACCGCCTCCACCCCCACGGCCACCCCCACCACCTCCACCACCCCCGCCGCCTCCACCACCGCTCCCTCCACCGCCACCTCCGCCACCCCTGCCACCCTTGCCGCCCCTGCCACCACCACGCTTCCCACCAGGAGCGGAAGCCGCTGCGACCTTCTCCGCACCGAGGAAGTCGACAGCAGTAGCAGCAGAGGCGTAGGAGGGGTCAAGAGGGGAAGGGGAGCACCCCTCAAAGAGGGGAGTGCGGGGAGTGCCACGAGCAGCACCGACAGCGAGGATGTTCTTCTCTGCTGCGACCAGCTGCTGCTCGAAGTCGTCCAGAGTGATAGTTGGAGGATCCTTGGCAAGGAAGTAATCCCTGACAGAGCGAAGAGTGTCAGGGAGGCGGGTGACGAGGATGTAGAGGGTGAAGTACAGCGGGGGGGTGTTCGTGGCGAGGAACTCGTTGGTAAGAGCGGCTCGAAAGCGGGCGTCACTAGCGCGGAGGTGAGTGATAAGGTCGGCAGCAGTGTGAAACGAGGCTAAGTCTGGGAACAGGTAAGGCAGGATGAGACTACCAACGGTGGCTGTGGTCGGGGCGGAATAGCGGGCAACGACAGCATCATACAGCGTCTTAGCAGTCTTAAGCTGGTTGAAATGCGCGCGCTCAGAGATCGGTAGGTGATTGCGAATAACAAGGCGCGCGACAGCATCGCGGAGCTCCCACTGTGCTCGTTCAGGGGCAGGAGCAGTCTCAGCAGGAGTAGGGACAGTGCCGGTCACATAGGCTAGCAGTGACACTCCGTCTGCGACGTCAGTCATAAGGTAAAGGCGCAGGTCACTAAGCCAGGTGTCAAATTCGATGGGGCGGCCGTCAGGCTCAAAGGCGAGAACAGTAAGGGTCGCCATGGTTGTAGCGCAGGCAAAAGTAGCAGGCTCAGGCAGCAGGCTCAGGCAGCAGGCTCAGGTAGCAGGCTCAGGCAGCAGGCTCAGGTAGCAGGCTCAGGCAGCAGGCTCAGGCAGCAGGCTCAGGCAGCAGGCAAAGACTGCAGGTTCAGGCAGCAGGCTCAGGCAGCAGGCAACTGTAGCAGGTAAGGAAGCACGCAGTTCTGTGACAGGCCGCGCGTAAGACAGGCAAGCGCACGACTCACGGGCGGCTAAGCGCTCAGGTCGAGGCAGTGGCGCACAGGCAGGGCAGGGCGCGCGCTGCTGCGGGCTGCGCGCGGCAGCGGGCTGCGCGCGGCTGCGGGCTGTGCGTGGCAGCTGGCTGCGCGCGGCGACGGGCTGCGCGTGGCTGCGGGCTGCGCGCGGCGACGGGCTGCGCGCGGCTGCGGGCTGCGCGTGGCTACTGGCTGCACGCGGCGGCGGGTCGCGCGTGGCGGCGGGCTGCGCGCGGCGCCGAGCTGCGCGTGACAGCAGCGAGCACGCGGGCGGCTAAGGCAGCGGGGCGCGCTAAAAAAAAATGCACGCGCGCATGCAGCCGAGGCGCGCGCGGGCAGCAGGCAAGGTAGGCACGTAGGTATAGCTGTAGGGAAAGTAACTCATGAGTAGGTGGGCCCCAAACTTAGGTCCTTAGGACCATTGCTCTAGATGCCATGTTGAGATAGCTAGGCAAGGTGAGGTTCACTATCGAGAGAAATGGTACAAATAACACAACCCTAAGGAGTTATCCCCTATAACATCTACCCCACTACAGCCTACCAATATGTATCACACATATATATCATTTGACAATGCGTTCTCCGTGCACCGCTCACCTGCCCCTCCGCACCCCCTGTCCTCCTCCCAACCCCGACCGACACCCCTTTCCTGGCTGGCAGCCATCGCTTCTACAACGCGGAGAGCTACACTCAAGCGCACAACAGATAGCCTCTCCCGCACCCGCCGCCTGCAACCGCCCCTGCAATGCAACCACGCACTGTTCCCCCGTGCACGCCAACTGCCTGAACCAGTGCTGCACTGCGCGTTGAGGTCTCGTGACTCGTGGCTCTCACCCTTCTCGGTCACCCATTGTAGCTACCGTTGTGTGCTCTCCTGGAGGGACGCAACACAGCCTATGCTGCTGCTGCTGCAGTGATGAATGTCTATAACTACTGTAACTTTCTGTACAATGAATTTGTTGGGCTGATAAAAAGCCCTTAGGATCTTTCCAAGGCTAGAACTCCTGGTAGGAATGTTGTAATTGCAGAAGCGTTTAATGAGAAGTATTGAACCACCTTGCGCTAGTGTGTGAGGGCAAGATATGATTGATTATAGAAAGAAGGTACAAGCTTTTATAAGATTACAGAGAATACGGTATGAAAGGATGCAATAATCGCTTTTAATGTTGCTGTTGCGGTTCGATAGTGTCGACTCGGGCAACTGCTCTGTAACGAGTCAGCTGTTTGTCCTTGCTGTCGCGATGTATCTGTCGAGTTAAAGGTCAGGCGACCTTTGACCTTCGTGTAACCTCCAGAGGTTACGTTTCCCGTCAACCTCCTCGGTTGACTCGTCACTGCTGCGCTGTAGTTCGCTTCGCTTACACTTCGGTGTTGCGACACAAAAGAAGCGTTTAAGTTACTTGTTTCCAACACTCCCCTTCGCTTCTGGAGTGTCGTTGCTGGTGACGTGGCCCTGTCCAGTCAGCAGCATACAGTATTCGAACTTCTGCTTTCCAAGTTTCTTGGTCAAATAGTCGGCTGCCATCTCGGATGTAGGGCAGTAGGCTAGTTCGAGTCTCCCCTTCTCGATCTCGTCCTTCAGGAAGAAATGTCGCAGGGCGATATTGTTAAATTGTAATGTGTTTTATGTTGGTAGGCTGTAGTGGGGTAGCCAACATGGGGTACAACCCCAACTAGGGTTTGCTACTTGTACCCAACTGTTCCATTCAATGCATCATTCTTACGCTAGTATTCTGATATGGTATCAGAGCAGGTGGTCCCTAGGACCATCCGATCGTTTTTTTTTAGGGCCCACCACCGCACGCTGCGGTTACCGCGTTACCCCCGTGCCCTACCCTCGTAGTGCCCTCGTTGCGCCATAGCGCCCTCGTAGCGCCCTTGTAGCGCCTCGTGCGCCCTGGCGACCGGCGTCCTGCCAGCCCAGAGCCCCGCGCGCCTCGCCCCTCCCCTGCTTTGCCCGTCGCGCCGCCCGCTCTGCCCCGCGCTGCCCGTCGCGCTGCCTCGCAGCCCCGCGCACCGCCCGTTGTGCCCCGCGCCGCCCGTCGATCTGCTGCGCAGCCCCGCGACCCGCCCGCCCTGCCCCGCGCTGCCCGTCGCTCGGCTCTGCAGCCCCGCGCGCCGCCCGCTCTGCCCCGCGCAGCCCGTCGAGCTGCCTTGCAGCCCCGCGCGCCGCCCGCTGTGCCCCGCGCCGTCCGTCGCGCTGCCCGCCCGCCCGCCGCGCTGCTCGCCTGCAGAGTCGCCCGCCAGTCGCGCTGCCTGCCTGCAGCGCCGCCTGCCTGCCGCACTGCCCGCTCGCAGAGCCGCCCGTCCGCCGCGCTGCCCGCTTGCAGCGCCGCCGGCTGCTCCCTACCCGTGCGCAATTGCCCACCCCTGCTGCGGCACCTTGCGTTGCTCTGTCGTACTGTCGCTATGGCTTCCATTCGCGTGCTGTCGTTCGATGCTGAGGGCCGCCCTGTGCAGTTCACCACTTGGCTAGAAGACCTGCAGCTGTTCCTCCTGAGCGATAGCAAGGAGCATGTGTCGCTCTATGATTACGCGTCTGGTGCTGCGCCTGCCCCTCCTGCCACAGCTGAGCTTAGTGTTCGTTCCCACTGGCAGACTCGTGACGCAGCTGCTCGCCTAGCCATTCGCAGTCACCTGCCGTTAGCTGAACTCGAGCATTTTGGCGACTGCAAAACCGCTAAGGCCCTGTACGACGCTGTCGTTGCCCGCTACTCCTCGCCTGCCACAGCCGAGCTTAGCCGCCTCATGCTGCCTTACCTGTTCCCTGAGCTGTCCACCTTTGCTACAGTCGCCGATCTCATCACCCACCTTCGCACTAGTGACGCTCGCCTGCGAGCCGCCCTTCCCACCGAGTTCTGTGCTAAGCACCCCCCTCCACTGTACTGGACGCTCCATTTCATAGTCACCCGTCTCCCTGACACCCTCAGCTCAGTTCGAGACTACTTCCTTGCTCGCTGTCCCACTGAGCTCACAGTCGCCCTCCTAGAGGAGAAGCTGCTAGCAGCCGAGAATAGCATTGTAGCTGTTGGTGCTGCTCGTGGCGCTCCTCGCACCCCCATCTTTGAGGGGTGTTCTCCCTCTCCCCTCGCTCCCTCCTACGCTACTGCTGCTGCTGTTGACTTCCTTGGTGCTGAGTCTGCTGGCGCTGCTTCTCCTCCTGGTGGGAGGCGCCGCACCGGCAAGGGCAAGGGGGGCAAGGGTGGCGGGGGTGGCGCTGGGGGGGGAGGAGGTGGGGGAGGTGGGGGGGGAGGCGGTGCTGGAGGGAGCAGTGGCGGGAGCGCTGGTGGGAGTGGGGTCGGTGGTGGAGGCGGGGGCGGCGGAGGGAGCGGTGGCGGTGGTGGCGGCGGCGGCGGTGGCGGTGGTGGCGGTGGCGGCGATGGCGGTGGCGGCGGTGGCGGTCGGAGCGGAGGCAGTGGTGGCGGCGGAGGTCGGAGTGGAGGCACTGGCTCGGGCCAGAGCTCCCAGCAGCAGCAGCGTCCCCAGACGACCCAGCAGTTTCGTGAGTGGCTTGCTCAGCGTGGGACGTCGGGGGGCAGTGGCCGCTGTTCCTATGTCATTCGCACAGGTGACCGCAAGGGACAGACGTGTGGGAGGTTCCACACCCCGTACCGCTGCTTCTCCCGCCTTGACGACGCTTGGCGTGAGGAGATCGGCGAGGATGTTGAGCGCCCCTGCTGGGCGGAGCTGATGAGGGCTGGTGTTGATATCTTTGCTCTTGACTATGATGCTATTATTGCTGCCATGTATGCATTGACTGTTAGTGCCGAGGGAGACTGTTACTTGTGTGTGCCGCCTGACCCAGGTATAGAGCCCGCTGCCCTAGGTACTAGTGAGTCTGCTCTCTCTGGTATGGTGCCCCCTGTACCTGCTCCCTCCAGTACTGTCCCTGCTGCTTGTGAGGCTGCTCTCTCAGGTACAGCACCCACAGAGGCTGCTCTCTCAGGTACTGCACCGGCTGAGGCCTTGCACACCTTCACCCTTGACTCGGGTGCTTCCCGCTGTTTCTTTCGTGACAGTACTGAGCTCACTCCGCTTCTTGCACCGGTCCCAGTCCTTGCACGGTCCACCACTGTGCTCCCGTGTCCGGCGGTTCCGTCTGGCTCGTTGTCGGGTTTCCACCTCCCCTCGTTCTCGACGAACCTGGTGAGCAACGCTGTCATCCAGGATCAGTGGGTTGACACCTTTACCCCTGGAGGACAGCGTGTGGCGATCCTCACGTGCTCCAGGACCGGCCGTCACCTGGCTACGTTTACCCGTCAGCCGGGGTCGAGTCTCTACATACTGACCACTGCGTCTCCTCAGGTCGCTGCTGTCGGTCAGGTGTCCGCGTCAGGTCTGGTAGCCCACGCCTGTGAGTGTCGTTCCCTGTCGCACCAGACTCTTCTCTGGCACCACCGCCTGGGTCACCCCTCCTTGCCACGCCTCCGTGGCATGCACCGTCGCCACCTTGTGTCTGGTCTTCCCAGGTCCCTCCCTCCCCTCCCTGCCTCGCCTGCGCCGCCTTGCCTTCCTTGCGTCGAGGGGCGGCAGCGCGCCGCTCCTCACTCCTCCTCGTTCCCCCCGACATTGGCTCCTCTGCAGACCCTCCACCTGGACGTGTGGGGCCCAGCCCGCGTTCGTGGCCAGGGCGGTGAGTGGTACTTTTTGCTGGTTGTCGACGACTACTCGCGTTACACCACGGTCTTCCCCTTGCGCACCAAGGGTGAGGTCCCTGCTGTTCTGATCCCTTGGATCCGCACAGTTCGTCTCCAGCTCCGCCGCCGTTTCCGGACAGATCTTCCTGTCCAGCGTCTGCACTCTGACAGAGGTGGTGAGTTCTCCTCCGACCTCTTGAGGACCTTCTGTCAGGCGGAGGGCATCGAGCAGACCTTCACGCTTCCGGACTCCCCGCAGCAAAATGGGGTTGCTGAGCACCGCATTGGCCTGGTCATGGAGGTCGCTCGTACCTCCTTGGTCCATGCGGCGGCTCCCCATTTTCTGTGGCCGTTTGCTGTCCTGTACGCCGCGCATCAGCTCAACCTCTGGCCCCGTGTCTCCTTGCCGGAGACCTCGCCCGCACTGCGTTGGACGGGGGAGGTTGACGATGCGTCGCGCTTCCGGGTGTGGGGTGCTCGTGCCCTTGTCCGCGATACGTCCGCGGACAAGCTCTCCTCCCGCACACTTCCCTGTGTCTTCCTTGGCTTTGTCCCTGACGCGCCTGGCTGGCAGTTTTACCACCCCACCTCGCGCCGGGTCTTCGCCTCTCAGGACGTCACCTTTGACGAGTCGGTCCCTTTTTACCGTCTCTTCCCCTACCGCACTGCCCCCCTCCCTCCCCCGCCGCTTTTCCTCGCTCCTGGTCCCCCTCCGGTAGACCCCCTTCCCCCTCAGGGTCCTGCTCCTTCAGGTGTCTCTCAGGTAGACCCTCCTCCCGTCGTCGCTGAGCCTGTCGAGGTCACAGGTGACTCAGGTGCTGCTGCGGGTGGTGCTGCTGGGAGTGCTGAGCCTGGGGGTGCTGGCACTGGGGGTGCTGGGCCTGGGGGTGCTGGGGCTGCGGGTGCTGGGACTGAGGGTGCTGGAGCGCAGGGTACGGTGCCTGAGCGTACGAAGCCTGGGGGTGCTGAGCCTGGAGGTACTGCGACTGGGGGTGCTGAGCCTGGGTGTACGGAGCCTGGGGGTGCTGAGCCTGGGGGTGCTGAGCCTGGGGGGCGCCTGAGGGTACTGAGC